GGAACTTCCCAAGGTTGTTGGTTTATATTCAACACCAAGGACAAAACTCCCCTGGCCTGTCCTCTGACCATGTGGATTTTCATTCTAGCCTTTAAATGCTGCCTGTGTGTCCCATATGGTTTCTATCTGCCCAGCTTTGACATGGCTGCCTCCTGGTTGCTCTGGGTTCCGTTCACAGTGCCCCACTGGCACACTGGTTCCCATCACCCAGCCCCCTTGTTGCACACTCCCCTCCCCACTCTCCATCTCCGTGTGTCTTGGGAATAGTAATGTGCTGTTTGCACTGATCTGTTTTCGGGGCCTGGAAGAATACTGTCATCCCTCAGTATTTATGGGTGATTGGTTCTGGGGCCACTTGGGATACCCAAATCCCAGAGTCTTTTGTCTAAAGTTGCATGAGTTGCATATAACCTGTGTCTTTGTCCTTCAGGTAGACTCTGGGTTCCTTGTACACACACACACCACGTGGCAATGCTTGATAGAGTTGTACTATCTTGTTACAGTAATTGTAAGGGATATCTGTGCATGTTTGGTGTAGCTGCAGCTTTTTCCCTGCAAAAGGTTTTCAAATGGTGGTCGGCTCAGTCTTCTGGTGCAGAAAGAACGCTGCCTGAATGTGAGTATTGTGGGGTCTGCAATAGCACAGTAAGTGAATGAGTGAGCAAGCGAATGGATGGTAAATGAAACCACCCGGGCTAGGGGCTAAAGTTACTATGCTCAGTGTCCTCTTCTATCTGGCCACATTGCCTGGAGCTGGTCTAAGATGGAAAACCGGGAAATGACTGACAGAGGGTGTGGCTGCCCTTGGCAGTGGTGGTGGGTGTCGAAGCATGTGTAACTCTGTATACTGACTGGGGTGAGCCTCCGGTCAGCTGCAGAGGGGGAGGCCAACCTGCCTGGCAGTCTCGGTAGCATAGCTCTGGCTCTTGTCTAGGGCTGGGATGCCAAGGGACAGGTCACTGCCTGGACCTTTAGAGAGGGGTACATTGGTGCCGCCAGAGCTGTTTGTCAGTCTGCTGGCCGGTCTGGGAGGGGACTTCTCACAGTTCATCCTGCCAGGGAGGGTGGTAACAGGTCCAGACAAGGACTGTGCTGTGTTCCCAGATCTGAGCTGTGTGTGGAGTTGCTGGATGGGCTTGTTTGTTGATGGTGTCCTAGGGGAAAGTGCTAGTTCCAGAAGACCTTGCCCTCCCAGGCTCAGGAAGACTAGGGAGCCGCTGACCAGTTTCCCTTGTTTACCCAGGAAAGTGGGATGTGGCCTCTGGGTGGGATGGGGTGTCCACCTGGTTTCATGGGACAGCCTGTTTTAGGCACTTCCCCAGAGCTGAGTCATGGTGTTTAGCAACACTCCTCCCAAAGCCACAGGCCCTGTGGTCCAATCCCTTTCAGAAGTGAGATGGAGGCCTCCAGGACCAGCCCCAGGCAGGCCCACACCGTCTGCTTCCCCCTAATGTCTCTGACCATCTCCTCAGTCAGTCCCAAACCCTGTTTGTTAGAAGCTTGGGGGACTTCTTGTTGCTGGGCCATTGAAGCCAGCACTTCAGCTTGTTGGCTGAGTCGTCATTGACCCTGACTAAAGCCTGCTGCGTGTTCTGTGTCATATGTGCTCAGACTCTGAGACCCCACAGGACAAGCAAGGCCTCATCTCACCCAGACTACTGGGATGGCAGGAGAATCGGGGACTCTAAGGACTCTTGCTAGAAACTGAAAATAGTTTATCCCAAGCCACACAGCCTGTACCCAGTCTCCAGAGCAAGATCACAGGAAGTAGGTGGCATTGTGTAGACCTATTACTGGTTTTCAAGAGTTACAGAAGAGGCACTCGGTTTGGCCTAGGATGGCAGGGTGTCATACTGATTTAGACTAAGTGTCCCTACTCTCCCTTTTTCTCTAACTCTACCAGCAAAGTAGTGTTGAGGAAGGGGACAGCCAGTGGGATGATGAAGGCTTCCCCCCTTCCCTCTGTTATGGTCTGGATACTTGGTCCCTCTGGGTAGCTGTGGGGGTATCTCTGGAGAATCCTGAGCTGCCAAGCCTTCCAATCTCCTACCTTTCCTTTCTATAATAAGCTTTTCCAATGGGAAACTGCAATATGGCTAAGCTTGAGGGGGATTCCTAGACTTACAGTGAAACCTTTTCACAAATCAGTGAGGCCTTGGGTGCCCCTCCTGCCTCTACCTCACTCTCCTGTTTCTGTTGTCTGTTTTCATTTTTGCCTCCCAGGGAATTAGGGAGTGGGCGTCCCGGCCATTTCAGATGCCATGACTGGAGGTTGGGGCCATGGTGGATGCTGCTGGTATCCTAACAGCAGAGACCAAGGATACTGTGAATGATCTACCACTCAGCCAACACCAACCCCAGCTTAAAAAAAAAAAAAAAAAAAAAAAAAAGACTGTCCTCAAACATCCGTCCTCTGGACCCCCTGGGCAAGTGGTAGGGAAGGCAGGCAGGCCATTGATGGTGGGCAGCGAGCAGAGCTCTGATACAGAACTGAGAATCAGGAGAGAGCCTCAGCAGGTGCCCGCCCTGGGCCGGCACTGCTCACTGGGGTGTGAACCTGGCTGAGGCTGAGTCACCACCTCAGTGACCTAGCTTTCTCATCCGAAAGATGGAAGAGCCTGGGTGTCCCTTCCAGTGGTGTGGGAGTCCATGCTATATAAGGAACCTTCTGTTCAACCAGCAGCAGAAAAACCAGAGGGGTCGCCATCGCAATGACAGAGCCCATGCCTCCCTTTTTTCCCCCTTTTCCTTTTCTTTCTGATTGGGGTGTGGGGAGCTGGAGAGATGACTCAGTGATTAAGAGCATTGGCTGCTCTTCCAGAGGACCCAGGTTTGATTTCCATTACCTACATGGTGGCTCACAGCTATAACTCTCGTTGCAGGGCATACAGCACCCTCTTCTGGCCTCCATGGGCACTGCAAGCACTTAGTACGCATACACAGCACATACATACACCCCACACACTTAGAAAGAAAAATGTGTGTGATACACATATCACACCACAACCCACATGTGACAGTTAAAGGACCCTCCTTGTTTGAGACAGGGTCTTTTAGTAACCGCTGTGTGGGCCAGGCTAGCAAGCCTCCAGGTGTTTGTGGATTCTCTACCTCCCATCTCTTTGTAGGTGGAAGGACACAGATAAATCTAGCTTTCCATAGGTTCCGAGGATCCAAACTCAGGTCCACACACTTGAGTGGCAAACATTTTACCCGCTGAGCCATTTCCCTAGCCCTTTTTTGTTAGGCTAAAGAGAGTTTTCCTCAAAATTTGGCTCAGGGTTCTCCCTGACTCCACACTGGTCACCTGTACAGTTGATCTATCTGCCCGTGGTGCCCCTTGGTGTTTGCTATGAGACCAGCAGTATAATCATACTTGGGAGTTCCTCTCAGTGGTGGGGGTGGGCAGGGGAAGATGCAGAGACCTTAGAGAGGTCAAGCTAGGAGCCCGGGGGCTGTACCATGGGCTGAAAGGGACTGACATGAAGGCCAAAGGGGAGAGATACTGGGGACTGCATAAGGTTGGGGTGGTGGTGTCCACACTTTAAATGTTTGGAGTCCAGCTGTGTGACACAATGGTGCTGGACAGGATTTAGAACTGAGACTTTTGGAACCCTCTGGAAGCCCATAGCCTGGCAGGAAGGTTAGAGTCCAGCTGGCAGGGACAAAATGATGTAACAGGTGCCTGGCAGGAGAGGGGACATTCAAAATGCTGTGAGAGGCAGGTGACCTAGAGGACTAGCTCTGGCCTTCCTGGGGCAGCATTGTCGTCCGCATCCCCCTCCTCCCCCGCCAGGTTGTTGGGTGCAGAGACCGTCCTGGGAGGGTTAGGTTTGCAGGGAGAGGAGTGTTACTGTGGTCAGGATTTTTTGGGGGGCGGGGGTTGTTTGTTTGTTTGACTAAGAAAGCTAGAGTGAGAGGAATGGAATGGGGCAGATGGGAGACCAGGTAAGCAACAGTCAGGACAGGCGGCTGAGCATGGGCGACGGAAGCAACCGAAGCCTGCCAGGCCTCACTGAGCCCTGCCTGCTGTGGGACAGTGGGCCCTGGTAAGACTTAGCTGTCTAGTTGTCAGCAGGATGGGGAGGGGACAGGCATCCAGGCACCCAGCTCCATCTCTCGCCATGCTACCCAGCTCTGCTGGGCAGAAAGGGCCTGGCTTGGGACCTTGACACTACACTTTCCTCGCCAGAGGCTGTGCCCTGAAATCTCCCTGTGTTGTCCTCTGGGTTTCTAGTTTGTCATCCAGAGTCCTGCGTCTAGAGTCTCGTCTCCCTCCAGCCCCAGTGATAAAGAAACCAGGAGGGAGTTTTCCCCAGCTTCAAGGGATGGGGGATAGTCTCTGGCAGAGCTCGGCACCTCATGGTGATGTCACATGCAGGAATCTTCATGTACGCAGCACTCCACGAGAGCTGGAAGGTCACTACTCAGCACTCCACGAGAGCTGGAAGGTCACGAGCTGGTTCTGTGGGTTCCTGCATCCCCACCCCAATTCTGATTCAGAAAGAGAGCCAGAGCCAAAAGAGTGGCTAGCCGCCCACATGTATGGAAGTGACAGGCAGGCAAGCGTGGCCTGGCCTGGCCTAGCCATTCTGTTCTCACTGACTCAGGCTGAGGTGTCCATCAACTCCACAGTGATCCAGGTTAGACAGCAGGAAGTTCTTGCCTGCACACCAGCTTGTCTAGCACCTGCTTGCCATTTAAGGTGGTCTGTTCAGTGTTCTAGCTTAGGCAGGGATGAGGGTCGTGGAACTTGGGTGATTATTTCTCTCTCAGGTGTCAGAGAAAATATGTCTCTGGTATCAAACTCTAGCCCAATTTATAAATAGTCTTCCATGTTTGGAGGCATGGGTGAAGAAATGCTGAGCTAGGAAGTTCACTCACTGCTGCCAGTTTTCCAGGAGTTTTGATGGGAAATTAGGGACTAAATGATGGTCTTTGGTGGGTGGACCCTGAGGCTAGTCTGTATTAACCCTTTGCCTCCTGTTCTCTGCTTGCAGCCCTCTGATTGCCCTGTCTACCCTCTGCACTTGCTGGACTTGAGAGCTGCCCCTGCCCCTGCCTGTTGCCTTGTGAGCGAGCGTCGGCCCCGCCCCGGCCGGCACCATGCCCATCCTCAAGCAGCTGGTGTCCAGCTCTGTGCACTCAAAGCGCCGCTCTCGAGCGGACCTCACGGCTGAGATGATCAGCGCCCCTCTGGGTGACTTCCGCCACACCATGCACGTGGGCCGGGCTGGAGATGCCTTTGGGGATACCTCCTTCCTCAACAGCAAGGCAGGTGAGGCTGACAGTGAGTCCCTGGACGAGCAGGCCTCGACATCGTCATCTTCCAAACGCAGCCTCCTGTCCCGGAAGTTCCGGGGCAGTAAACGGTCACAGTCCGTGACCCGAGGGGACCGGGAGCAGAGAGACATGCTGGGCTCCCTGCGGGACTCAGCACTGTTTGTCAAGAATGCCATGTCCCTGCCTCAGCTCAATGAGAAGGAAGCCACTGAGAAGGGCTCCAGCAAGCTCCCTAAGAGTCTGTCATCCAGCCCTGTGAAGAAGGTGGATGCTGGAGACTCTGGCCAGGAGACAGGCTCAGGGGAGATGGGTCCTCGTCGGAATGGGGCCACAGGCCCTCACTCTCCTGACCCACTCCTCGATGAGCAGGCCTTTGGGGACCTGACAGATCTACCCATTGTGCCCAAGGCCAGCTATGGGCTGAAACATGCCGAGTCTATCATGTCTTTCCACATCGACCTGGGGCCCTCCATGCTGGGTGACGTCCTCAGCATCATGGACAAGGATGAGTGGTACCCAGAGGAGGAAGAGGGTGGTGGTTACCGTGACAAAGAAGGCCCCAGCAGCATGGTCCAGGCTCCCGCTTTGCTGGAGGTAGCTCCTCCAATAGGAAAACAGGAAAGCAAGGCTAGCTCGGACCAGGCCTCCATGTTGCCCCCACATGCTCTGGAAGACGACAGGTGGGCAGTGGCAGCCCCCAGCCCCAGCTCAGCACGCAGCGTCAGCAGCCACACCACACGGGACAGCAGTTCCCTGTCCAGCTGCACCTCAGGCGTCCTGGAGGAACGCAGCCCAGCTTTCCGAGGCCCAGACAGGGCCCGGTCTGCTGCCCCAAGGCAGCCAGACAAGGAATTCTCCTTCATGGATGAGGAGGAGGAGGAAGATGAGATCCGAGTTTGAGGCTGGACAGAAAGTTGACAGTAGTTTCCACAACTCTGGGCTGCATCATTTCCCTGCTGCTGCCTTCACTATGACCTTTGACCTTCCTATGTAGGTGCAGTTAAGAGCCTCATTGGAGTAGACCCTGGACCTCACGGATTGGGGTGCCAGGGAGGTAGCATGGGTACTTATGGCCTGACTCTGACCTGTTCTTCCTCTACTGCAGCAACCTGGGACAGAGCTGTGTCCCAGCAGGAATCTATTCTTCTCTCTCTGGGCCCCTTGCTTCCAGCCTGGCCTGAGTTGGATGCCAGATGATAGTTTGTATTCCTGCAGCAATGTCAGGGCAGGAAGGTCATGGACACTTGGCTCCCTCTTTTCACCTGGTGTCTAGTGCCTACCAGGGAGATCTATGCAGCACGAGGCAGGGGTGACCACACGTCCGGGCTCTTCTTTCTCCACCCCTGGCTCCTCACTGGAAGCCTGGTGCTCTTTGGGCTCAGTTGGAACAGGGGACAGCCTCAACCAATACACTAAATGCAGTCCTTCCCAGGCGCGCCAGGACAGTGGGGCACAGAAGGAACTCCCACGGCCCCTAGCTTCTTGTGTTTTCAAGAAGGGGCCCTTCTTCAGTGACACTAGGAACAGGAAGGGCTATCTCTGCCCTACGGGTGCATTTGTTTGTTGTTGTTGTTATATGTTTAAACCTGAATAGAGCTACCAGGAGAATATAATCCTGTTAGCAAGATTGTCTTGGTGGCACAGTGACTGGTAGCTTACTCAAATCTGGGTGTACAGACCCTGTCCAGGTTGAACTGGGGGGGGGGGGCAGCCGCCACCAGTTTGTCCATGAACCCCACCTTTATAGCTGTTAACAGCTGAAGACTATGTAGGAATGTTCTGGAAAATGATGGTTAAATAATGCATTGTTCCCTGGAGTGTGAGCTGTGTTATTGACTGGGTGTTTCCCTCCCCCTCCCCTACTCTGTGGAGGACAGTGTCTCCTTCCATTCTCAGCCTCTCCCAACTGCCCAGACCAGGACTCAGGTGGGCTAAGGGCCAGGCTGAGCAAGACCCTATTCAGTTTGAATTCCAGGTTAACAAAAGTGGGTTTTTGTTTGTTTGCTTTTTGAGACACGGTCTCCCTCTGTAGTCCAAGCTGGCCTTAAATTTGCAGCAAAGCCTCTCATACCCTAGGAGCTGAGGTTACAGGTGTGCACCAGCGGCCCTGGCTGTTTGTCTGAAATCTGTTTTGCTTGGCTCCTGTAACTCTACCCAGAACATGGGTAGAAGCAGGGGCCAGAGTCCCAGGGGTGGTGGTTCATTCCTTTTCTGTGCTGGGAACAGGCTGGCCCACCTTCTGATCTAGCATAGCCAGTGGGAATCTGGGGAGAGAGCAAGCTACATTACAATAGGATCCTGGCCAGATGAGGGTGGTGGCCTGCCATGGGCTGCTCTGCTTCCGAGGTCCTCCCAGATCCTGACCCGGAAACACTCACTGGGCTCCTGACTGGTGCTCCCACATAGTAGCCATTGACAGAGTCACAGAACTGTGCCTCTGGCCAGCAGCACACACACCCCTCCTGATCTACCCAGTCGGTTCTAGACTTTAAACTTTGTATTTTTTCCGTGACATTGATAAAGCAGTAAGAAAACATTAAAATTTCCTCCTAGTACCTCTGGTGTCTTTCTTGTCTCCTTCCTGGGGTCTTATTTCAGGATGAGGGGAAGCAGTGGGACACACCCAATCCACAGAAGACACAGAAGAAAGGGCAGTGGATGCCGGTGCTCGCTCAGCTCACTTTCCTTTCTATACAGCTGGGAGCCCCACCCTGAGGATGGTGCCACCCATAGTGTGTGGGTCTCATACCGCAAGTAACCCAGTCTGTCTGTCTGTCTGTGTCTGTCTCTGTCTCTCTCTTCTCCCCCCTTCTCTCAGCCTATTTTTTTTTTTTTAGATTTTTTTATGTATACAACATTCTGCTTCCATGTATATCTGCACAGCAGATTTCATAACAGATGGTTGTGAGCCACCATGTGGTTACTGGGAATTGAACTCAGGACCTCTGGAAGAGCAACCAGTGCTCTTAACCTCTGAGCCACCTCTCCAGCCCCCAGCCACACTCATCCAATTCTTGATCTCCTCAAGTTAACCATTGAGATGAACCATTAGAGGGACAAAGCCGTGTGTGCCCGTATGTGCCTCTCAGCTTGAGGAGGCTCTGCTATGTACCAGTCGGGGGCTCCTTTGTCATTGAGCTCTGTTCCTTGGCCCTTTCTATAACGAAGTGCTGCTGCTCTTGCAGGGTGGGGTGGAGCCTGTGGCTCGAGGTTTATTTGGGGTTTATTCCTGTGTTCCTGGGATGGATGAGGCTGCTGTCTCCAGGCTCCAGGACTGCAGAGAGCAGAGAGAAATGAGAAACGGGCCTCCTTTCCATCATTTGTGTATGCTTTGGGCTCAGCCTCAGTGCTCAGTCAGGATCTCCATATCTTTATCCAGTGGTGCTGGATAGAGAGCCACTCCAGGCCACCATGCAGCACTTGAAGTCACCATGGCTGCCCCAAAACTGCAGGATGACGTGGAGATGAAATTGGAGATCATTAATTGACAACCTCTGCCCCTTTCACAACCTCCCCTGGGTGCATCTCTGGAAACAAGGTCAGGGTGCATCTGCCCTGGGTGTGGGAACCAGGTGACCCCTCCACCCACAGGCCTGGCTCCTATCGCAGACCCCGCCCTTCTCACACCCACACTCACAGCCTGGGCTGGCTCTATGAAGAGGGAGCATGGCCTGGACAGGGCCCTTGCTTGCTCTTTGGAAACGTAAGGAATTCTTGAGCTGAGTTCTGGCTGAACCCTCCGAGGATCTACAGAGAAATGTAGCTTCCTATTCATTCTCTCCCTGGGAAGTAATTAAAGGCATAATTAGAGTGTCACCCATGTCTCTCTGTCCCCAGACAGGCTGATTAAGGCTACTGAGAGACAAGTTTAATGAGTTCAGAGCAGGGTGGGGCACACAGGAGCTCTCTGAGAATATCAGGGCCACTCTGACCTGAAGCCTGTCTTCAGTGGTTTGGGTAAGAACTATTGGGGTAATGGAGCAAGAGATGTCCCTCTCTCCCGGGCCCTCCGTCCACCACCACCACCACCACCACCCCGACAAACCTAGGGTTCCTGGGAATCCACAAGAAGCCAGCAGCTCTGGCAGCATCTGCTTTGGATACAATAGGAGCCTTCACACCAGGACTTGGAGGGACTCGTGCTTTGATGGGCTCCATGGACCCAGGAGATGCAGATAGGAGAGCCTTTGACTACTCTCAGCCTTCCAACTCACATGGTGGTTGGTTGTTTCTGGTCACTTTACAGTGGTGGTGCATTGAACCGGTATGCACACCGAGTCACAGCATCCCCTGAGTATAGATTATATTAAGGTTGGTAGGAGGCCCTTCTTTTGCCACCCCATCTTGGTCTCTGGGAATTGTACCTGAGAAACCTAGGGGTTCACACAGCAAGCCAACCTCTCCCCCTTGTCAAACTGACTTGAATTCTGATAACTCTCCTCCTGGTGTCTCAGCCTCCAGAAGGCAGGTATGAGCCACTGGACCTGGCTCGGGTCTCGGCTACTCTATAAGATCCCTTCTTCCTCAGATGACCTGAAACCATCATTTAATTCAGCTCTCAGTTAAGATTTCTCAAAACCTGAGGGGACCTCAAGGCTTCTGGCCCAGTTAAGAAGCCAACATGGGTCCCGGCGTTGGTGGCTCACGCCTTTAATCCCAGCACTCGGGAGGCAGAGGCAGGCAGATCTCTTGAGTTCGAGGCCAGCCTGGTCTACAGAGCGAGTGCCAGGATAGGCTCCAAAGCTACACAGAGAAACCCTGTCTCAGGAGGAGAAAAAAAAAAAAAAAAGCCAACATGGGGCCTACAGCCTGCCCTGCCCAGACCCAGACCCAGACCCAGGCTTACTCTAGGTGAGCTCCTTCCCTACCACCCCAAGGAGCTCTGTTTCTATGTCTTGGACCCATACTGTCCTGTCCTACTAATGTGATGAGGGGAATGTGTGCGTTGGTGTGATTGCCACACATCAGGACCAGTCTTAGTATTTGGTCTCTTAAGCGTCTACAGCCTTTTTGAAGTAGATTTTTATTAGTAGTATTTGGGGACTGAAGGGAGGAGTTTGCCACAGTGTACCTGTAGAGGTCTGATGACAATTTATAGGAATTGGTTCTCTCCTTCCACCACTTGGGTTGCAGGGATTGAAGTCAGGTCAACTTGGAAACAAACACCCTTACCCACTAAGCCCTCTCGATGGCCAGAGCATACCTGATGAGGCAGCTTAAGATGAAGGAACTAGCAAATCCCATGCAGCTCGTGAGCTGACGAGCCAGGACCCCAGGAATGGCCGCTGGAGTCATTGCTCACAATAGCTAGGCCTTCTAGCAAAATGATCTACACACTGGGACCCAGGGATGACCAGGTAAGAACAGTGACCAGGAGGCAGCACCTGGCAGAGGCCAAGCTGGCAGGCCCGCTGGGGTTTAAAATCGGTCCAAGGAAAACTTCCGGCTTTTCAGTGACAACTGTTCATTCACTGGATGGCTGCTGGCTCTGGCCACCAGGCAGTGCAAAGGCCCCTCACTTCCCAGGTTCACGTCTGTCCCACCCGAGCCAGGCTAGACCACGGCAGTCAGTCATCAAGCCCTTTGCCTCTGGAGCCCACAGCCTCAGATCTAAATCTAGGCTGGTCCCATGTGTCCATTTTTTTTTTAACTAGTTTATTTACATTTATTTTATGTGCATTGGTGTGAAGGTGTTAGATCTGGAACTGGAGTTTTAGACAGTTGTGAGCTGCCATGTGGGTACTGGGAATTGAACCCGGGTCCTCTGGAAGAACAGCCAGTGCTCTTAACCGCTGAGCCATCTCTCCAGCCCCCATGTGTCCATTTTTGGTCCCATCATCCCGCTTACCCAATCACCACCTCTTCTCTACAACAAGATTCACAACACAACCTAGGGAGGAAGCAGATGGAAGGAATGAAATATCAGGATCTTTTTATCCTAAGGACTCAGCATCGTCCAAGCCTCAAATCTGGTTTCCCAGCTGCCCCCATGTTGGAAGGCAGAGACTGGAGGACAGGGGACTGAGGAGAAGCACAGAGCAGAGACAGAGAAACTTGCCCGGCCAGCTCTGGTCCATCGAGCTTAGCGTGAGAGGAAGAAACAACATGGAGGGTTGGGCCCTGGGCATCTGAACTAGGAGGACTTCAAGAACTCAGAGATGGAAGGGGATGGCCTTCACAGGTGTGCGTGTGCCACTGTCCTCCCAGCCCTGGAACAGCTTTCCAGAGACCTCCCTATCCAATCCACACCTGAGCAGGTAGTCCTTCCTTAGTGCACTGGACCACAGCCCTAACTGTGCACAGCCCTCCCTGCTTGAGGCTCTGATGTAGGAGGCAGGAAAAGGTTAGGAATAAAAAGAACATTCATTTACTCGCCCGTCCTTCACAAGCTCCTCTAGGCCCCGAGGCTTCCTGCCGTCAGCCAGATGGGAGACTACGAAGAGTGCTCTGGGGGAGGAAGTCAACCCTGCGGGCAGATGGATGTTGGCGGTTTGGCCTCTGCAACCTGTTGCCCAGTCCCACTCAGCTGCTGTTCCCCTGGAGAGAGCCTCTTGGGAGGAGGGAGAAAGTCAAGAGTAGCTATGGCCCCCCTACTCCAGGAATCCAGTCCTAAAGTTACACTAGGCAATAAATAAACAAAGAGCAACCTGCCAAGACCACGGGGTTCTCCTGAACTGTTTTCTTTGTATGCCCTACTCAGCCCCAGAAAGGTCTGGAGGAGACAGCTTATGAAATTACACAAAATACAAAAGGGTAAAAATAGACCAGAGAGAAAACAATGCTGGAACAAATAGTACTATGACCCAAGTGCCCAGGTTGGCCTGTACTGGGCTCTGAGCTTTCTGTCAAAACGGGGAAATACCCTCTGTTGATTCACAGGGTTAAGATGGATGCAGATCAGTTTAGTGGAGTTTTTGTTTGTTTCTTGACATTAAAGTCTAAAAAAGGAATTTTTGTTTTGGTTTGATGTCATTTAAGAGCCCTTGTTCTTGCAGATGACCTGAATTCAATTCCCAGCACCCACATGGTAACTCACAACCATCTGATCCCAGAGAGTCAATGCCCTGTTCTGACCTCTGTGGCACAAGGTACACACGGTGCACATACATTCAGGCAAAACACTCATACATGTAAAAATAAATCTAAAATTAAAAAAAAAATAGGCTGCTTATGGTGGCCCACTGCTTTATCTTGGCACTTGGGAGGCAGAGGCAGGCAGATCTCAGTGAATTTGAGGCCAGCCTAGTCTACACAGTGAGTACCAGTCCAGCCTGGTCTACATAGTGAGACCCTGTCTCAAAAAATTAATCGAGAGACATAAACTGATAGGTATCCTTGCCCCTTAGGGAGAGCCATTTAGCCAAGCCCCTTTCTGGATTAAATCCTTAGCTGTGCCCCTCATAAAAGAAATGTGAACAGCAGAGGAGGTGACTTCCTCAGTCACTAGTCACTTCATTCATTCATTCATTCATTCATTCATTCATTGTGTACGCATATGATATGTGGGTATAGCACTCATGCTGTGGCATATGTGTGGAAGCCAGGACAGCCTGGT